GGCAAAATACTTATCATTTGCTTTACAATGCTCAGAAGTAGTCTTAGAGAGATTTGCTATTACAAGCTTTATAAAGGCACTGTGTACTGACTGGGCACAGTGGCTTATACCTGTAATCCCAGATTTAGGGAGGGCAAAGTAGGAGGATTGCTTGAGCCCAGGAGTTCAAGTTAAGCCTGGGTAACATACAGAGACCTCATCTTTACAAAAAAGAAATTAGCCAGGCACGGTGGCACGCTTCTATAGACCCAGCTACTTGAGAGGCTGAGGCAGGAGGATCACTTTAGACCAGGATGTTGAGGCTTCAGTGAGCAGTGTCTGCACTCCAATCTGGGTAGAGTGAGACTCCAATTCAAAAAAAAAAAAAAAAGCAGACAACAATTCTTCTTTAAAAAAAATAAGCCTGAATATATGTATATTTAAAGATATATTAAACATGTTATATTTCTGACCTATGATAAGGGCTGAGAAGGAAAAAACCATATAGTTGACAGAGTTGAAGAGTAAAAAGGAAAAAAATTGCCAATGAAAAGAAATAAACTACACATACAGGTGCCTTGGCCTGGGCCAATGAGAGTACTCAGGCATTGAAGAATAGTGAACCACTTACACTGAGGTCCTTGAAAAATGAGAAGTCGAAAGGTAAGGTTCCAGATGTTGGAATGTGGAAAGAGAAGCAGAAAATTAGATAGAGTAGAGCAAACCTAGATCAGCAGTAGGAGCTGGAAGAGGAACAAATGACTGACGGAGGAGAACCAGCATCTCAGGCATTGTATCAGGTAGGACATGCTACATTCTACTGAAGTGCAGAGACCAGTTTTCCCATCTTCTGCTGTGACCTTTCACCCAAGAGATTCAGGTGTTGTCCAAGTGAGTAGAATTGTTGCCCTTGCTTCAAGATGATGACACATGAGATGTCAGTCTTTCTTTCCTAAACTTCTCGTTTAGTCCAGTTAGTGATTTCAGCCATTTTCTCATTTCTGCAGTCCTGCATTTTTGCCTCAGAGGCTACACAATACCGGTTCTTAAATTAGCAAGCGCACCCCATTACCCGAATATGCACCAGATTGGTCTGCCTTTTGCTTTAATTTTCCAGTCTTCAACATCCTTTTTAGGTCGGTATTTCATTACAGTTCCATACTGGAAATGAAATAAAAGCAGTGCATGTTCCTTGTGATAAGGTCAACAATATAGTTTTATACTTGTTGAAAGTGAGCACTCTGTTACATATCACGACAATCCCTTTCTTTAATCATGAGCACTGCCAGTTTTTATTTTTATTTTAGCGTTGTGGGGTACAAGTGAGGATTTGCTGCATAAGTAAATGACATGCAGGGGAGTTTTGGACTTACAGTGAGTACTCTTTCCTCCTGGCAGTGAACAGCACTGTTAGTTTGATGTGGCCTTCCACATCACTTTGGTGTATGTTTGATGAAAAGGGGATCTGAACTCTTTATTTATGTTCTAATATCTTAAACATAGAATGTGTACATTTTCCTTTTAAGTATATATTAGTCCTTTTAAATATATGAATAATATTTATGATATAGATGCAGCATGATTGATTTAACCAACTTTCTGTTGCTGAGTCTTTGTTTTCAAATTGTTGCCATTACTGTAGTGCTGCAGTGACTATCTTCATACGTCCTTTTTTTATTTTATTTTTTGTTGTTTTCCTGTTATAAAACTTTTGCTATTTTTAGCAATAATAATGTGTGTTCATTTTAGGCCTATGGAAAATACAAATAAGCAAAAGAAGAAAAACCATTTATAATCTCACCACCAAGAAACTGAACTTTGTCTCTTTCATCCTTCACAAGTTTTATGTGCATAAATGTAATATGCAAATGTACTTTTGCCTTTCAAAAATATTATATTCACATATACTTAGTAACCTTTTTTGATTTTATATTCTATCGGGAACCTCTTTTTCTTTAATCAATGAGTAAAGCTCTTTTATTAAAAGACAGAGACACATAGATTGTTCAAAATATGATAATGAGATGCATCTAAAACCACTAACAGCAAAAGGTTAAAAGTAGAAAGATAGACAAAGTTATAGGAAAATACTGATAAAAAGAAAGCTATATAGTATTATTAATACCAGATAAAAATCAAGGTAAACTACATTAAATAGGGGTAAGGATGGTTTCAATTAATCTTCCAACACATCTCTATAAGTTTGTTTCTTTCTCTCCTTATCTCATCTATTTCATCCACTTCTCTAAACATATCTTCATTGCTTAAGTGCCTGTTGTTGCACATCTTCTTTACATTTCTGGACAGATTGAATCAGCCTTTCTTTAAAAGTCTCTTCTGCTTTTTCCTCCTCTGGCTTTTTCTTAGGCTTTGGCTCCTCCTCAAGCTTTGGTTCACTCTCATTTTCTGTTTTTTCCTCAGTTTTTTGACAGGGTTTCATCTTGTGTCTGTCAGCCTCTCTTTCTTCCTTCTTTCTTTTCTTTCTTTCTTTTTTTTTTTTTGCTTATTCCTCTTTGAATGCAATTACTTCTAGTACTGATCGGGTCAGTTCCTTCCTCCTTTTTTAGCCTTGGGTTGTGCTAAGAACAACAACCTGAACAATTCCTGCAAGTTTTATTCCTTTTCCTTCCACTGGCCTCAGGGACCGCCGCCTGCCCTGTTGAAAGAAGCTGGTATCCAGACGGGACCAAGGACCAGACTCCATACATACTTTTGTGTATCCTTGTGCAAGTCTTTCTGAGAAGGTATTCACAGAAGTGAAATTGGCACTGAGGGGAGGGTTGAAGAGAATGGCCATTTCAGTTTTTGAAACTATTGTCGCAGTAGCCCTTAAAAAGTATCAATTTGTCCTTTCATTGACAGCTTATTGAAGCTTCTTTCCTTACACCTCGTCAATAATGGGCATGATCAATCCCTTTGGTGTTTTTTTCAGTTTTACCAATTAGTAAGTGGTTATATTTTCACATTTAACGACCATAGTTTGCATTTCTTTGCTCATTATTCTTTTCATTTGTTAACTGGACACGTGTATTTTTTTCCTTCTGTGAATTGGCTAATCATATCTTTTGCCCACTTTTCTCTTGGATTGCTATCTCTCACAGAATATTGCCAATGAAACAAACCATTATAAAGTATAACAGGTATCTGAAACCAAAAATATCTCAGGCATGATCTCAAAATACCCAATTCTTGTATAAAGGGGTCATGTGTATGCATGCTGTTTTTATTTTTAAAATTTTTATTTTTGGTGTGCTCTTGTTTCTAGTTGTATTTCAGGTCTTTTCAAAGCAGGGTCCCAGGGACTGCCAGATTCAAATATGCCCTTGATCTTGGTCCATTGCTGCAGGAGTCTTGGGGAGCCTTGTATACATGCCTGCATTATTCATTCACCAACACTGAACCCAAGGATAGAAGATGTGACAAAGCAGGACTCCTCGCATGACATAGGTTGATTTCAGAGGCTGCAGCGGCCAATGTGGAGAACACTGGAATTTTTTTTTGGAACTGGACGGTGATGAGAAGTGCCTGCCATGAACATAACCTCTGTCTTTTCCCTTCCCTTCCCTTCTTGAAGAAAGAACCACAAATAATCTTCTCTGAAGATACTTGATAACAATTCCAAAAAACAAAAGCACGTGCTTCTTATGCACGGTACTTTCAGATATTCTGGGTCTAGTTCAGCTGGTGGATGAACTGAGTGATGCATTCACCCCGATAGTCAAGTGACCCCACCTCCTTGACAAAGCCTACTCTATTTTTGGTAGTGTGATGAACCACTGGAAGTTAGAAAAAGCACAAGAACCATGAGATCTCCTAGAAATGCTTCTCCAGGAAGGCAATTTCATGAATGAGGTCTTCCAGGCAAATGACACCAAATCTCCCCAGATGCTTCACAGTCACTGTGGTGCCTGGCAGAGGAATGATCTTGTTCTTGACCTTGGCTTGTCCACGTTTCAAGATGAGTTGCTGGACAGACTTCAGACTTGAAAATCCCCATGTCACATAAGGCTCCACGATACACAGTGTTTTGGGGCTTTGTCTTTGACAAAGAAACCACTGAAAATTTTCTTCAGACAAAGTCTTGCAATGGTCCTCTTCACCAGTGAACTCATCCCATTAATCCTTTGGATGGCACAACAAAGGCCAGGGAATGTTTATCTGGCAGTTCCAAGGCATGAGGTCTCATCATATAGGAACAATTCCAATTGCTTAAGCCTGAGTCCTGTTCCTTTCATCTGTTCCTTATTTGCCTGAAGTGCCTGCTTTGCCTGGGTGGCTTTGAGAGCTTGATAAGCCTTCTTCTTTTTCAGGAGATTTTCTGGAACCAAAGGGATTTTTCTTCTCTCTTGCTCTGTCATCTTTTTAGAGCTGCAGCTACTGATCATGTGCATGCCTAGCCTGTATGGTGTTTTTAGAAACAAGGTTTTATCCTTTGTTGTTATGTTAGGCTTACCTTGAACTCACTTTGGCTACTAAGCATTCTTTCCAATCTTTCTTATATATTCCTGACATCGTGGGCAATTTTTCATCCTCAATTTTTCCCTTTCAGCTGATATATTCAGGATTTAGGAATCCCAAAAATCTCAAGAGGGAAATACCTGTCCTTAGTTAAATGTTTTTTTAGAAGGAGAGATGGTTTTTAAGAGGTAAGGACATTTAAGGAAAGATATGCTATTATTCATACTTTCAGATGTTTAATGTTGTCATTAATAATTTTCTCCCCAATTCAATTTTCTCTTTATTTTCCTAAACTTTATTCTTTACCTTTTCTTCTTCTTTTCTTCTTATTCCCTTTGCCCTTCCCCTTCTCCTTCCTTTCACTTGCTCTGTCGTCCTCTCCAGATGGAAAACTCTTCCTCTCTGGTGGCAACTCCGAGTCAGTTAATTTCTTCCCCTGAAATTCTAGGTGAAAACTCTTCATAAAGCAGGCATTGATTAATACTTCTTCAGTGGTGAAACAATAGGAGCTCTCATTAAATTCATGAATGAGGCCAGACTATTCTTCCCAATTGTGGTTACCTTTGCTCTGGAGGTACTAAGTGATACAGTTAGAAAATAGCAAAGGTAGGTTTAAAATTGGGGAGTGGGAGTCAAAAATATATATAGATGACATAATTATATTTTTAGAACACCTAACAGAATGTACTGGAAACTTTCTTTAACAAAGAGCAAGTTTATAATGTAGCTTAGTACAAAATTAATGCACAAAATCGGTAGCTTTCCTACATCCAAACAACTGCTTGAATATGGAAATGATAGTGAAAGAAAGCATACCCATATAGAAGAGAGACCCAATGACAAAATACCCAGGAAATAAAAAGTAGCAAGAAATGGGAAAGGTCATTGTTAAAAACAAACAAACAAGGACATGAAATAAAACTTATTTTTAGATAAAATGCCACAGCAGTGTAACAATGTCAGTTTTTCATATACTTATGAATAGATTTGGTATGGTACCATAACATTTATTAACAAGATTTTAAAAAATCAAATTCTAAGGTGTATATGTGATATAAAATACATAAGCATAGACAAGGAACTTTTGACAAAGAAGAATAATGAGAATAGGCTAATCTTCACAGATATCCAAATATGTATAATACGAATAGTGATAATGTCTATTTGGGTCTGGCAAATTAATTGACAATTTAATGAAACAGATGGCAACCCTTAATATTGACCCAAATGCATACTAGCTTTTATATATAGTACAAATATATGAAGTTAATATGTAATATAGGTAGCATTTCAAACCAAGTGAAGAGAGGTGGTTTACTGTAAACAAAAGTTAGATCCCTACCTAGTTCTTACACAAAAAGAAATTCCAGATGCATCAAACAATTTAAATGCAAAGAATTAAACCGTAAAATTATGGGAAGGAAACATAGAACTTTTAAAATATATAATCTTAGATTGCAAAGGTGTTTCTGTTGATTACATGAAACCATCAGTGAACATACTGACAAAGTTAACCTTATACAATTGACATTTTTTGTATGATAAAAGATAAAATCAAAGAAAGTGAAATATCAGTTTGCTTCCCATCAGGTCAGTACCAGAAACCTGATTTCCTCAATACATAAAGAACTTGTATAAAGTGATTCTAAGAAACTAAATGTGAAAGCATTCTTCTCCCTTCTCTGGAAATAGCTGTAAGAAATGCAACACCAGCCAGACTCGGTGGCTCAGCCTGTCATCCCAGCACTTTGGGAGGATGAGATGAGTGGATTGCCTGAGCCTGTGGGTTCAAGACCAGCCGAGACAACTTGGCCAGACCTTATCTCCACAATAAATTAAAAAAAAAAAAATAGCTAGGCATAGTAGCGCATATCTGCAGTTCTGGCAACTTGGAAGGCTGAGGTGGAAGAATTGCTGAAGCCAGCAGGTCAATGCTGGAGTGGCCATGAGTGTGCCATTGCACTCCAGCCTGGGCAACAGAGTGAGACTCCAACTCAAAAAAAAAAGAAAGAAAGAAATGCAACACCATGTGTGCCTCTGGGAAGGGGAACTAGGGAAGCCAGAGGTCAGAGAGACTTCCTCTTCACTTTGTAGTACTGAATTTTTACCATGAGCACTAGGAGTGGCCTAGTCTATTCAGGTTGCTATAACAAAACTATCATAGACTGGATGGCTTATAAACAACAGGAGTTTATTCCTCACAGTTCTGGAAGCAGGGAAGTCCAAGATCAAAGCACCAGCAGATCAGTAGCCAGTGTAGTCCTTTTACCTGGTTCATAAATGTCATCTTCTCACTGTGCTCTCACATGGTAGATGGGGTGAGTGAGCTTTCTAGAGTCGCTTTTATTTTTATTTTTTGTTTTTTGTTTTTGAGTTGGAATCTCACTCCGTCACCCAGACTGGAGTGCAGTGGCCGCTCCCAGCCACCGCAGCCTCGACCTGCTGGGCTCTGGCGATCCTTCCGCCTCAGCCTTCCAGTAGCTGGAACTACAGGCACGCGCTACCACGCCCGGCTAATTTTTGATTTATTGTAGAGATGAAGTCTAGAGTCGCTTTTATAAGGTCATGAATCCCATTTATGAACACTCCACCTTCATGGTCTAATTATCTCCCAAAGGCCCTACCTCCTAATACCATGGGGACTAGGATTTCAACACGTGAATTTTGGGGGGGCATAAGCATTCAGTCTATAGCAAGCAGCTTCCAGATAGATAGAGGAGAGCAAAGCAGATTGAAAGACAGGAAGTCTACAAATCTGTGTTTTCTTCAGTTCTCTCGGCTGCTCCTAACTTACACAAGAAGAAACAAAAAAGCAGAAATAGTCACATGCATCCTCATCACCTTCCTTTTTTTTTTTTTAAATATGTTTACTGTTGAGGGTTTACCAGTGGGGTTTCTCTTTAAAGCCCATAGAATGTGTTCCTTAAATGCCAAGGGGCTTTTGTATTCATTTCCAAGTGTAACAAATTAACAGATCATTCTTTGTGTGACTGGTGGGCAGTCTAGTCTTGTCACCCTTAGGTATTCCTCCATATTTCTTTATACCTGGCTTTAAGGGTGATACTGCTTAGATTTTACTTATAGGAAAAAAAAGTAAAGTTCTCCAGCAGAAATGATGTCATTTGAACTATTTTTAAAATGGTTTTGTAGGATTTTAAAAATACTTTGCTATTCATTGAACCTCCATTGGTTGAGAAACGATAAGAAATTTAATGTACAGTACATTACTGTGGATTAAAGGATGGCACAACTCATTGCTAATTAGGTACTGATTTTGCTCTGGTTAGAGGTGGTTCCTTACTTGTAGTAGAGCATAGTGAAAGATCTCTGTAGCTTCAACCCTACGGAGGACACAGCTGTGTTACTTGCAAAACTGGTGGACTTACGCAAGATACTTGATGGTAAGTGGGGCAATTAGAATTGAAATTGCGGTTACCCTTCAGCTTTCTCCCTTGGAATTCCTGTAGGAATGCCGACAACGTGTTTGGGATTGTCCAGCCATTTAGAATAGCTGGAAGGGATATTAATACTTATCAGAGTCTCACTATTCCATGGTGTCTCCAAAAACATGGTCATTGTACCTCTAAGTGAAATGACTGTATATGTTCTCTTGCAGTGAAGAAGGCCTCTATAAAAAGTCTAATTTGTGATTGTAAAGCCTTCAGCTCTTTATCTAGGACGAGCTCAGCTAATTTCCTGCATTTTAGTAAATTGGTGGCTCTTTCAGTGATATTTTCTTTACACCAGCTTCAAGTCACCTTCCTGTCAGGAAATGCAGTGAATGGAGGGTGTGACAGTGATTGTAAAAGCTTGTACAGATTTGAAGAGTTGGGATGTGGGGCGGGAAGCATATTTCTACGTTGGGGGGAAATAGGCTTCTACTTTCTTCTGTTCCTGCAGAAAATATCTCCCACAGGGTCTCAGCAGGGTGTTTTCTAAGCTCATTATGGATCTGTTATTTGGCCTCCTAGAGACTTCTATGTTCCATGGGTTTCTGCTTTTAGTCCTTGGAGAGCAGTTGTTCTGTGTCATTGTTATACAGCTCGTAGTTGGTGTGGGCCCATATTTTACAGTCTGTCAGGCTGGCAGGTTTTGAAGGCATTGCTAACAGATCATGTAGAGATTTCCATGTGCATTCTCTATTCCTAGCATTTTTGCTTGCTCAGGCTGTACTTGACCATACTGTGATATTTTACAGTTAATGACTTGAGTATCATTCTGTGAATCATCTTAACATTCTGTTAATTATCTAAACCTTCTGTATTTCCTTTTAGTTCCAGCATTAATTTGAATATGGAGCTATACTGAGTATTAAGGAACTCTTCTTTCCAAGGCAGACTGGCAAAGAGCTTCAGAATGTACATAAAATCGGAGCTCAAACTTCGTGCCACAGAATTAACATTTTGCAGGTTTTCACATTATATCACCCTTATGGCATCTTCTCTAGTCCCCATACCCCCAGGTCCCATATTCTGCTTCATTTTCAGTGAGTTTTATGCCCGAATATCCCAATGGAAACCGAATAGTGCTTGCAGAATTGATCAGATTACTCACGCATTTGATCCAGTTGCATTATTAAGATAACTAAAAACATTTAGGTTTTCCTACTGTGTTTTTATTATTGCTATTATGTTTGTCTTGAGTGCAAATGTGAAGAAATAGAATAAATTAAAAAGAGAGGCCTGGCTTATTCTTTCTATATTGTCTCTCTTATAAACTCAACAGTCCTTTGCAGCTACCAAATTATTAATGCTTCTGTCACTAAAATATACAGCTCTGTTTAGATAGCTTTGAATCTAAGTCCCAGTGAAAACTTGGAGTCATAACTGCCTCTCCATATGTAGCAAGCCATCATTAATTACTTAACTTCGTATGTTTTTTATTTGCCTAGCAAAATAATGAAAGAATAAATAATATGAACAATGAAGAGTTAGTAATAGCTATTGTTTATTGAGAACTTATTATAGTCAAAACAATAGTAAATATTACATATATTCATTTATCCTGAAAAAAACCTTATAGTCGAATATAGCTGACTTCACCAACATAGATCCTAATCACTAGACCCTGAGCTGTGCTTTGCTCACCATCTCCTTTGCTTCACAGCAGTCCTGCAGGTAGTGTTCCTGTCCCCATTGTTTGTAGAGATGCTGCAGGTTTTGCATCTGTTCGGCCATACCATCAACTCATGAGTAAGGGTGATAGAATCTCTACTGCTTCTCATCCATTGAAAAGTTAAAATAGGTTATTGATGGTTCTAGAATGAGTGTTGTAAAAAGAAACATAAATAAATACTTAAATAACGGTTAATGTTCGAATCCATGTATATACACCACATTGAAAATTCCTTAATCAATCGCATGATGACTTAGGGATTAAGACACTGAGACTCCAGGAGTTCAAGTGAGGGGTTATGTGCAGTGTAGGAATTCATGCCCCGGTCTTCTGTCTCGAGTGCACTCTGTGCTGTGTATTCAAGAAGGCTTTGCTGTTTTACTGATAGAGGAACTGAGATAAGAAAATTTTAAAACAACATGTCCAACGTTGCATGTCTGTCAAGTATGAAGCAAGGGC